CAGAGTTCGGAATTGCTCACAGCATCGTTTCACGACTTTGGAGACAATTTCAAACTACAGGAACAGCTATCCGGGGGTTTAGTAGTGGTCGTCCACGAGGAACCACACCCGCAGATGACTGGTATATTGCCTTACAGACCAGAAGAAACAGGCGGCAGACAGTGGGAGAAATCGCTAGACACACTACACAGGCGACTGGACGACCGATATCGCGTTTTACCGTGGCCAGAAGACTGCACGGTGGTGGTCTGTTTGCACGACGCCCTGTACGGTGTGTACCTCTAACGCCTGCCCATCGGAGAAGGCGTTCTCTGTGGTGCTGGGAACACCGGAATTGGAGGGACAATGAATGGGGACGAGTACTCTTTACAGATGAGAGCAGATTCAGTCTGAGTAGCGATTCTCATCGCATACTCATCTGGAGAGAGCGGGGAAGCCGCAATCATCCCTCGAACATCATTGAAAGGGACAGGTATGGAGGTGGCGGTGTTCTCGTTTGGGGAGACATCATGCTTGGTAGTCGTACAGACCTTCACATCTTCGACGCAGGTTCAGTCAACGGGATCCGTTATTGTAACGAGATTCTTCTTCCATATGTGCGTCTTTTGAGAGGCGCTATGGGTCCGCAGTTCCTTTTCATGGACGGCAATGCACCAAGTCATCGCACAGTAGCTGCCGAACAGCTCTTAGAGAGTGAGGATATTGAACGTATGGATTGGCCGGCACGATCTCCGGATCTCAATCCCATCGAACACGTATGGGATTTTCTAGGCAGACGCTTGGCAGCTCGTACCTTACCACCAATAACGATTCCGGAGCTTCGATTGGCGCTGCAAGACGAATGGGCAGCAATGCCTCAACAACTCATTGACACCTTCATTCTCAGCATGGGCAGACGCTGTGAAACCTGCCTAGCAGTCAGGGGAGATCATATCCCTATTAAAGACCGGATGTTTCTTGCTGGACACCCTTCACAGGGATGTTTCGGCCTTCAGTCGCATTGCGCTCCATGCTACTTTTTCAATAAAGCTTCTTTTTATCCCTCTGATTTCTCTTTCAGTAAGTGTTGCTTACATTACTCATGTCCTTACGTATTGGGGATCTTACGGTATTAAATGTGTTGATTTGGAAAGCTTTTGTATAAAGTTATATTGAAAAAACCGTCTCGTCCTTAATTTTTGCACACCAGTGTATATTTAAAAAATTATTTAAATTTTTATCCCATAATTCTTTTAAAATAATAACAGTATTAACTTGTATTATTTTTCCTCTGAATTTGCCGTAATGTAAGTCGTAAGCGTGACTTTCAAGACCGACGCTAGACCTTTCGCCGCCACTATAAAATATAAACAATAAGAGTACTGTTTGCTAAATTCAAGAAAATTTATGTGTATGTGAAATAAATAAATAAATAACGTACCTAAGTTATCTGAATAGCTGATTCGTTGACATGACTTGTTTAATTAGCTCTAGCACGCAGTTGAAATGACTTGTTTAATTAGCTCTAGCAATGTGTATCGTCTGAGAGACAGTTATAAAATGTTTTCGTCAATGCCAGTGCCAAAAAATGCCATGAAGTCCAAACAACGGTGGTGGAATTCTAACAACTGATTAATAATGCGAACTTTGATAAGCAGTTCTCGATCATCAGTTGTCAACAATTATTTGTTAATATTAAAATTTAACATTATAAAATTAACAAAAAGAATATAAGACACATATCCTGGCGAAGTAGCCACATGGCCGCCGAAAAACGTATTCTCCGGCCGTTCCCTAGCTTATCGTGAATTCTTTCAAAAAATTGGTACTATTTTAAAACGTCGCGGAACAAATTGTTAAAAATTGGGACTGTCCCGCCGAAAGCGGGACGTCTGGTCATCTTACCTATGCCATCCTTCTACCGAATTGTTTACTCTCGGATGGCCATTGACAACGCGCTCATGAACACGTAATTCCATTTACATATTCCAAGCCGTGGTTGTGCTCGGAGATTGCACCTTATTCGTCCTTTATATCTATTTTCTCATTTCATCTTCTCAAATAATTCTTCAAATACTCATCTAGCATTATATTCCGGCACAAAACTCAATGCTAATCGCCATTTTAAAATGCACACGCTCATTTTCGTTACTTATATATAAAGTTCCACCAGATTTTAATTATATTAAAATACTTGGCAATGACCATTATGTTTTATTACCTGTAATAGCAATTATTCCCTCTTATATAATAAGAGACATTAATCTGTTGTTGACTAAAAGCTTCCGTCGGTATTCTTTTGGGCTACTTTAACAGGTCATGAAAATTACAAAATATTTGAACTATTACTCAATTTCATGTTGAATTCCAGATCAAAACTATATTAAAGAAAGGAACTTTGCTATTTAAGAGTTTTAATTATATATTTTATTTGTTAAACTTCGTCTGCATCTATTAATACAGACGTATTTGGGAAAAAAAAAAAAAAGAAAAAAAGAAAAAAAAAACCTTTTTAAATTTGTGCTTTAAGAGAAACCAATTTGGAATTTTGTGTTTATATTGCATAAAAACGTGTTTCCTAGCCGTTTTCTGTTTATGTAAAGAATTCGATACATACGAGAACGTTATAGGATCTGGATTTTTGTGAAAATGTTTGATTTTTTTCACCTCTGAAATTGACAGCGATACATAAATTTTCTCAAGCACGTGCTGATAAGAAGGCCATAACATGTATCTTATCCTTCTTTCCTCTTTCTAATCAAGAGAAATTGGAAGAAGTTTGGTACTTCAAGAAAGAAGGCAGAAAGCGAGGATAACGTTGATCATTTAACTTTGATATAGCCAAATAGGCACAAGCAGACTTTTCGAAATATTTTTGGAGTTAAAAAAAGAAATGCAAAGAAAAGTATGCTAAGTATTGCAAGTCGGCTAAAGTGTCAGCAATAAATACTGTTATGTATAAAGCCTTCCACATCAGCCATGAGATATTAAAAAAGAAATCTTTCGTATCGAAACAGACAAAAATACAGTATTTATTCAAAAATAGAATACCCTTTTTTTTTTTTTTTGCTACATATTTGTTCTGGAATTTAATATGGATCTTAAAATTGGGTAATTTAATCAATGGAATTACAGACTGAAAAGAAAGAATTAAATTAGCACAATGCATAGAATAATTACACTGTTCAAATAATAAATAAGCTACACAGGTCATTTCCATATATAATAGCCACGAGTAGAGATTCCAGTTTAAATCTGCACCCGCTACACTAGTTACTGGTGTGTCTTTTGGGGTAAAGTAATATACAATTATATATTATTAGTTTTTCCTAATTTTTCTTTCAATATTGTAGTAAAAATATTGTATTTAATTAGGCGGCTTGATTTCTTTTTTGTCAGAAACAAATAAATTCTAATCGGGATCATGCTTTCATTAAAAATTAACATATATTTTTATTTTATAAAATGTACCCTGAATATAAAGGGGAGTCTTATTTCGAGTAAATACCAGTAATATATGTGTAACCACCTTCCATGGATTCAGACGAGGTTGAGACAGTTATTCTTTTTCTTCTGCAAACATCTTCTGTATCTCTTAACAGTTTAAATTTTCGTGAATCACTTTCATACATCATCACTACAACTGTCACTAATTTTGTGTGTTTCAGTGTGCCTCTTATTCCCTGCTCTTGTTAAATAAATTTACACTGCAAATGAGAACTTTTGGTTTATAATGATCCTACTTCATAGGATCATTTCTACAGCTTGTATATTTATCAAATGATTCCTGATTTTATTACATATGATTATTTTTCAGTTTTTTTCCTCCTTAGTGTGTGTGTGTGTGTGTGTGTTATATGATGTGAATAGGTAAGTTAATTTTTTATATCCCTGAGAAGACAAGGAAATTTGTAAATGTATAGTGTCTTTACGGCACAGATGCGCTTAAAATACCATCTATTCCAAAATCTGCTCGAGATGACAATAGGGGAAGAGGGATAGAAGACCCTCAGATTTGTATCCCTTCAAAATTGAGAAGGGGCTGTGCAAATTTCACCTTGTACAGACATTAGGATTTTTTGAAAGCAAGAAAGATGAAAAATATGCAACGCCTTCGCCGGGAATCGAATCGCGGACCCTCTCAATTACGCGCTGAGCGTGCAGACCACTACACCACGAAGGCTCGCTAAGAAATACCTTATACACTTATTGCTTGGCGCAGCACTTGTTTGTAATAAAATCTTGTCGATTAAATGGATGGGGCTGCGCCCTATTTGTACCTTATACACTCCCCCTTTTTTAAGGGCGTCATCACCTTTACACGTTCAAAAAATCGAATTTTATTATTATTATTATTATTTTGCATTTTTAGAAACTGTAAGCATTTCTGTGTCTGTTAAAAAACAAACGGTGTAACGATATTCGAGTTAGAACCTTAAAAATTATGAATTAAAGAAACCGATCTTGAGGTAAATATTGCCAGATCGAGCATTTAAATCATCACCTGACATTTGCTTACATTTGTACGCGCGGCTGCTTACGAATTTCCACTCGTAGATTGCTTTAATTTTTACTGTTAACATCATGTATATTGGTAAAATTGAGTGTGTCGCACACATTCAGAAAAGAATGGGCACTAAATTACGAAAGCAAGAAATGAAGGGGAAGAAACTTAGTAAGGGCAAAACTCTCAGTGGAAAAGGTCGCCTTACGGATGATATTATAAACCAATTAATTAAGACAATTTATTAATAAAATAATACAATAATTGACAATTTATTAAGGAAATGCTATTAGAAAACATTACAATTCTGTAATATATGCAAAAAGCAGTGGTGGCAATATTTTACCACAAACGTTCAACCGACGTGGAACCTACTCACAATTTTTGCCCAACAGGGAAGGATTCGTGGTGTACATATCAAAGAGCGAGTGCGAATCTGAGATCGTACAAACATAAAAATTCAATTCTACCACCTGTAATGGATGCTATCAAAAGATATGTTTAAAGATATTAGTATATGCCATTATTACTAAAAAGGTGTTTAGGAGGACAAACCCAGAATCCAAATGAATCGTTGAACGCCTTGATTTGGAAATTGTGTCCTAAAAATTCCGGGTGTGGTTATAATATTGTAAAGACAGCAGTAAATGAAGCAGTTATTATATACAACGAAGTTCAAGCTGGGCGATTACATACTAGGAATGAACTTGGATACCGAATTAGTGATAATGCGGTCAAGTTTACAGCAGACACTGATCAACGTCGTATTCAGTCAGCCAAAATAAAGGCAGAGATGTCTACAATAGATGCTTACAGAGAAAGAAAAGGAGCCAAACTTGTTGCAGTAACAGCTATTGAAGAACAAGTAGGTATGGTGTATGCAGCTGGGCAGTTTTAGGCCCATATCACACGGCGTTTGGCCCACCAGCGGCCGAGCGGTAAAATCTCTGAACACTGGTAGTTCGGTCCGAGGTTCGAGCCCCGCGAACGGGCTGGCTGCATGGGCGTTCTCGTGGTTTTCCCCATGTGTAACGTGCATACGAGCCAGTTTCCCTTAGAAAGTCCTCCACGAAGGCATCCCTCCCCTTAGGCAAATAGCCCTAATGTGCTTTACCGTACTCAATAAACCACCACCAACACACGGCGTTTGTTTCACACGAACAACTGTTTCGGACAAATTTTCTGCCTGGTTTGCTATTGAAATAAAGACGTGCGACTTTTTCCTTCCTTTCCAAAAAAAATTGCAAGTTGTTCGTTTTCAACAAATCAGCTATCAGCTTCGAATGCTATCAGCTTGTTTGTAATGGGTAACCAGTTTTCCCTGTGTTAACCCCAAAGCGATTTATGGTGATTGGCTGTTATGACAAAGCAGAAAAAATTTTCCAAACAGTTGTTCTTCCGAAACAAACCAACGTGTGATAGCAGCCTAACTGTGTTAGTGTTATTTGAGAGAAAATATTTTGAAACTTTAAAATCATTTTTCTAAAAATGGTGATTTTCATACTTGCGCGCATTCTTTAAAAAAAAAATGTATCGTAGCTACTGATTTTAAAATTTCAGAGTAAGTACATGATGATATTGCTGAAAAAATGCACCTACCTTTTCTTTGAAAAATTATTTATAAATATTTATATAATTTTACTTAAAATTTTTTAACGCTTTTCTGTTTTCTAAGGTCTTATTGCAATGGTGTTAATATTCTTTGATATTTCAAAATTTAAATAGGTGAAGAATCATATTTAATGATGTTTCATCACAAAATTGTAAAAATTATTATTGTAACTAGATTTGTATTACACTCAGTTTGCGCGCAGTGCTTTAGTACAAATTTTAAATTTTTGGGAAAATACAGATTGTTTTTTCTTTATAAAACAAATTCTTATACACTATTAGTAAAATAAATCAAGAAACATAATATCTATGTATAGAGATCACACACTGAAAATTTCATATCTCTATGACCATAACAATTTGACTTCTCGAAAATCAGCCAAAATTCTTACTTTTTGTGTTGCGCAAAAGTGATGACTCCCCTTAAAGGGCGACTGGGGTTTTTAGGGGACTCAATCGCCAAATCCTGGCTGTGGAGAACCATCATCCAGCCTCTTTTAGTTCGGGTGCCCCTGTAGAGACTTTACATATTTTTTTGGAAGCAGGCAAGAGGAAAAATACGCAACGCCTTCGCCGGGAATCGAACCGCGGACCTCTTAATTATGCGCTGAGCATGCAGACCACTACACTACGAAGTCTCGCTAAGAAGGCGGAAGAAATATCTTATAACCTTTCTTAAAGAAAATAATTTCTTCTCAAAAAATTTCTTACGGAATAAAAGAAAAATAAATATGAATTATTAGCTGTGTAATAAAAGAAGTAATTTTGCTTGACTTTTTTATCATTTTAGAGAAAATGTGAAAGATTCTGGAATTTGGTGAGCAGACTAAATGAAGCAAATATAAGACGTCACAGCAGATAAGAATTATTAGCAGATACGAATAACCACATTTGATACTAAGCACCGTAACAAGATACTGAAATTAAAGTAATAGTCTTATTAAATGATATTTGAGAAGAAGAATGGTTTTGCTGCAAATCGTGTATAAGATAAACAGTAGCGAAAATTTTCCCTTTCGCTTGCTTTTAAATGACATTGACAGACAATCGTTTCTTTTGTTTGTTTGCTTGTCGTGTCGTTATTAACTTACTCTTTTCCTTTTCCCATTTCTAAATTTTTCATATTAATCTATTTGCTGACACGCAGATATTTAGTTTTGGGTACTTATAAACCAATGATTACCTTGATAAAACGTCCAAAAATTTAATTTCCACATTTATTTATTACTTCACATTATAATTTAATTACTTCTTTTCCTTTCTCAATTTTTTACATCCTTTTTGCTAATAATATCATAATTTTTAAAAACATGTAAGCTACTTAAAAAAATTATGTGATACTTTCTCGAGGAAGGGTTTAAAGATCCTACAGCAGAGAGGGCTTCGCGTAGTATTAGGGCCTTACAAAGTTGCTCATGAGAGTTTTACTAAAGAATTTATATTACTTCCTGCAATTATAATAATTTATTAACTATGTATATTTTTCCATGTACGAAAAAGGTATTCTGCTATTTAATACTCACTGCTCAAAGTTCTTGTCATAACACACCAGATGTCCAACTGATATTCTTCCACAGCCTATATGATGTTGAGAAACGGTTTCAGTGGCGTATAATGAAGGGTGGCCCAAAGGTCATTCTAATATTTCGAATATTCTAAATGATATTCAATAAAAATAACAACTTGTTTTGTTTGTTTACTTACTTTTGTTTCAGTAACTAATGTTTTGGTTCATGAAAACGTGCCATTGAAAAATATACTATGGCACAAAATTATATAAATTTTGAGTCCAAAAATGGACGCTACGCTTCACTCGTGAAAGAGCATACAAGGGCTGCTATGAAATATAAAACCTGCCTACTAAGTTGGGAAGACTTAGAGACAACACTAACTCAGAGCATTAGTGTTGAAATACAGACAACTAGAACTGTCAGAGTGCAACAACACAGTATAAATAGAATACGATTAAAGAGGTTTTTCCTCTCTAGAGAACATATACAAAAGATTAAAGCGACTTCAGTAGTTAATATAAAATTATTTGTCACGTGTATAAAGGCTTAATATATATTACCAACAGCGGTAATTGTTCAAATTTCTTATCAGTGTTCTGAATTGTTTTGTCCATGTATTTCATGGAATGGTTGCCAGAGCGTCAAGGAGGCTGAACTTCTTCCACCGCAATTTTGGGGAGAGAATCTCGGAGAGTGGTCCGAGGGCCTTCCACCTTTCTGCCCTACGACCAAACCACACGAGAGGACAAAGATACTATGCATTTACAAATATCCGTGCCTTCGTTTCGGGATTTGAACCCGGCCTTTCGATACCACATTAGGCTCACCTAACCACTATAACCACTATACTGTCTGGGCGGCTCTTGATTATAAAGTATACACCTTGTGTTGTATTACCCACATCCATGCCAGAATTAAATTACTCCCAAACCCAATGGACCACGTCCGCTAGTAAAGACCTGCAGTGCATGCGTTATCTGATCACGAAAGGTCTTGGATGGACGCAGATGATAATGGTATATTAAAGGTGTCTTTAACAAACTCCCACCCATTCATCCGAGAAAAAAAAAAAAAGAAATTGCTTGGTGTAAGTTTCGATGAACGGATGATAATTTGAAAGTAGTTGTCTCCATGGTGCAGAAAACCAAAATAGATCGATTGAGAACACAATTGAGAAACATTTACACATTCCTGTGATATTTGGGGTAAGGTAGCTAAGTCCATCTGCTGAAATATAATCGCTAAAATAGCTAAAATACTTAGTTTCGATAAAAATTATTATTCATACATGTCCAAAAATGAATCTTCAGTCGCTATTTCTTCAGAAATAAAAAAAGAGCTCTTTTTTTTTTTTTTCTGGACATTGCACGGAAAGCTTTGACTTTGATGCAATAAACTTAAACCAAACTTCCATTCTATTCTAATCATAATTCAGGACATCTAAAAATGGAATTTAGATAAAGTTTTTCAACTTGAATATTGTCTTCGCGGCTTATCAGTAAGAAATAGATGCGAATGTATAGTACCGCATAAACGTGAACAGTTGCTGCTCTTGACAGTTTCGATTGCGCTTATGTAAGGTGAGAAATAAATTTGCTATTAATTGTGTACCAGTCTTTGAGGTATGCTATGTCCTCATTCAAGTCAATAAAATAGATTTACTAACTAAAATTCTAGAAAACGTTAGTAAAAAAAATATAGGAAAACAATAAACATTTCCGCTATATTTGAAGGGCATTTTTTAAACTTGTACAATCCGAAGAATTCCAAATTAAACTTTTTTAAGCTATCAAATTCCGATTGGAACAATGTTTGGGAAACACTGGAGATACTCCTTTTGAAAAATATAACAGATACTAAGCAAATCACACGTATAGATATTTTGTATTAATGTTCTGTTCTGCTATACCAGAAAAGTTGTATCTTCTCACTACGGTTTGCTCTACATTCATAATATTAATTGCAAAACTGTAAAATACGATTAAAGATAATAGTATTGATATTTTGTTTCTTATGAATAGTTGTTAGGAAAATACACGAAATTTAATGGAAAGACTTCTCTTTTTAAAAAAATTTATTACGTTATTACATCTGCGAATATGAAAATCAATATTCGATTCTTTTCTGTTTGTTATGGTCTAATTTTTAACTATGAAAACATAAATAATCAAAAATTTCTAGATTTATTATCGGAAAATTCGTGAGCACCATTGAGGGGAAAATGCATATTTCAGGAAAGCAGTTTCTAGAAAACTGTTTTCGTTTACAACGATGCCAACCTGATTGCTCTTTTTACCAAGTACGAAAGTTTTGTTTTGGATTTGTGACTTCTGTCAGCCTCCATATTATAGCAATTTCTCTGGAAAATCTTATACAACGCAGATCAGTACACGATGTTGCACGTGCACTACTTACAGATTGACTGAAGTACTCTTCAGGTAAGCAGAAACAATGAAAAGAAACTTATTAAAAGGTTACGAAGAACTTGCCTGCAAGCTGAAAATCAAGCTGGAGAAAGTGACGCACGCAAGCACGCAATGATGTGCTGCTGCTATTTTCAGATTATACTACTTCGGCGAAATATTCTTTTAAATTGTTTGTTATTGTGGTGAAAATGGCTGGTTGATGAAACCTGTTATAAAGCATATCACATGAAAGAGTATCATGACCTTCGATTGCGAGAGGAAAGATAATATCAGAGTTTCCGCTGAAAAAGGTATACGCTTTGAAGATTAATTTTTTA